CCCTCCACCCGGCCAGCCGACGCACCGGCACCCCCGCTGACCAAATCCCCTTGCACCAACCCCTTCCCTTTAACTATGTCGATCAAAGCTCGGATCAAAGCACCATGCATTGCAGTTGTTTTAGCTGCACAATGCACGCGGGAGGAGTTTAAAATGGATTATGAGATGGAGGGGGGGCGTGTCAGGCCTGGCGAGCAACAGGTAGAGGGGGAACCGCCGGAAGCGTCGAGTGCGAGCTACGCAATTTTATTCCAAACAAAAAAATGTGACAGTATTTGAACGTCCGATACTTTTAGTCCAAGCCTATAGCGACTTTATCAAAGTCGTTACGTGCCCGTTTTGGAAACGCGAAGGAGTGTCCTGATGGAACCCGTTATTTTCCCGCTCAAAGGGCAATACTTGGAACTTAAGTTCGCGTCGTTCGCGTTTCCCCGCACCATGTGTGTGTGTGTAGGTTCGGCCACGATGCCACCGAAAAGGGTTTAACTTCTTGCACTGAGAACAACATGATTTTTTTTTATTCTTGTGGTTCGTTTAGAAAGTACACCCGTTTCTCATACTCATTCGATCATTCAGCAAATTACGAGAGCTAGGCGCCTGCAAGACTCGGGGTAGGCCAGCCCGCAGTTCACTCCTGCACTACAGGCAAGATGTTGCCTACCTACCAGGTGCTATGAGACCTTGCATTGGCTAAACTTATTGGCTCTTTCGTAATGGCAAATGACAGACGCACTTCGTGGATGAGATGACCCAACCACAATAAAGGCGATATTTTAAGTTAAGGAAGGTACAAAATTAATTTTGTGTTCTCCGGCCGGCCGTTTGTCGGCCTATTCTAAACGAGGTGTCGTTCCCCACTGCCCTAGATTTCTTCATTTATTCGTGCCACCTTCGTTGTTGTTTTCTTTCTGTGGCTTCTTTCTGTGCCAGTTACATTTTTTTTTACCGGTGTTTCCGGCAACAGTGGCGGGCGGTATTAATCTCAGGCCCATAGGCTCAGACGGGGGAGGGATTGGTAGAGGGACTAGCACAGCGGCCACTGGGAACAGAGCCACGAGACGCTACGACTTCTTGCCACACACACACACACATACATACACATACATACACACGCGCGCGCACGCACACGGACACGCGGCGTTTTGAAATAAAACAAAATACTGTCGGTGTGTACCGCCGCGTCGCGGCGTCGCTGCGAAAAGAAAACTTTGCCCCCCTTTTTCGTGTCAACGTCGTGCGCGTAACGTACTTCTTGTTTGCCCTTCGCGATGTAATTCACGTGCCGTTTCCCGTCTCTCGACGTCGTCGTTCCGTCTCGATATATGTACACACATACGGATCGTTCCGATCAACTGGCCGGGGCGCGCCAAGTGGGGGGGCCTTTCATCAAGACGCATTACTCTCATTACCTCCGACTGTATCTCTCACGGGATGCGCGGCTCCGCGAGACAATAGGTTGGGGGGTGGGGT